ATCACAATTATGACAAATCACGGCCTGAACTCTCTTGCTTTGCATGTAATGAGTCTTATCTAATATATTAGTTTCACCTTTTAAGTTGCATTACTGAAATAAATGAACTTTTGCACGATATTCTAATTTTTCGAGTTTCACCTGTACTGGCCAAGAATTACAGATAGGAATCATTCTTATTCCATTTGCACTCTGCAGACTCTTTTGGTAGCTATTATTACACACAACTATGTTTGCATTTCAATTGCTTCAAATAGGGGGCTCCCATAATACCAATTATGATTGAATTTGTTTAATATCATATATTATTATAGAGTATATTAGGAAGAATGCTTTATAAGTTACATTAGAATCACTTATAATTATCTATACATCTATTTGCTATTTAGCAAAACGATTTAGATGCCTTACCTAAAAAATAAAATTTCACAGTAAATTGCAATCAATCTGATATGAAAAACAGTAGGAGACATTAGCCCCAGTGAGGTTTCCACCATAACTTTTTCTATTTCATTCTATTAAAAAAATTATGGTTTATAGCAGCTCATTTAAGCTATAAAAGGTTGTGATTTTCAATTTATATTTTGGGTATCAATTTATGCATGTGTATTCATACACATGGTAAAATTGTTCTCAGCTGAAATATAAAGGAATGGTAATTTATTTCAAATATTTTAAGGCTTTTCAGAATACACTGTGGTCTTCCAGTTTTCAGTGCACAATTTTAGTGGCTCACAATGACTGAATCACATAATAAAATAAATAATTCACTAAAATCCAGAATCTTAACATGCAAATTAGTGGCAAGGGGGAAGGTAAGGACAAAATAAATCTGTGGCCCTCTTAGCATAATTGTAATATGACTTACAAAATAGATTCCATAAGCATACAAAAGTAGCTATTAATATAGACAATACAATACATTTCACATATTAGACAGAAGAATAAATGAAAAATGGGGGAATGCTATAGCATATTGAGGAAATTGAATTTAAAGAGCATATTTCCAGGAAAGCACATAAGATAACAGATAAAAATATCTACACAACAGTACTGGGATAGCTACAGGAATGAATTTATTATCATGGAAATGATTACAAAGAAGAGCTGCTGAAGGGGAAACTATCAGGAAAAAAATTAAAGAAAACAAAGAGAAAACATGAAAGAATGTTGGAATCAGAGTAATTTTCTTTGGCTTTTCAATTAGTGTTTCTCAGTGTGTTTGTAATAGAAAAACATTTCCAAATTTCTATAAAATAAGAGGAAAGGGTAAGTGGAGTAAATAGGTAAGCAGATTATAAGATAGCCTTTATTATGAAGCCAAAGGAAATACTGAAAATTATGCAAAATGAAAAAGAGTGATAGATAGAAATATGCACCATAAACTCAGTGATCTGCATTTTTCTATTTTAAAAAGAAAAGGAGGAGGGAGGGAGGTGGGAAGGAGAGACAGAAAACTCAGTATATAGGCACTTGTTTCTTACATTGTAAGATCCTGCCTATTGTATGTGAAAGGGACAGGCTTAAGACAAAACCCACTTGGAATTTCTCCAGTGTAATTTCCCTGGAAAAAGGATTTGCTTAAGACTGCAGAACCCTGTTATTTTCAAAGAGAGATGCCCGAGAGAGTAGAGGAGTAGGCTGCATGCTCATCCTTATGTAAGTATTTCTCTACACTCAACATCAAGCTCCTGAATCAAAACCCCATGAGACCCATGTGTGTGCTTACAAACCAGCTGGAGCTAATACTCTACCTGAGTCAGCCCTTAATACAGCAATACATTCCATTTAGAGTGTGACCATTAACATACACTTAACTTACTCTGCCCTGGCTTCCACTAACTGCAAGCACCATTTATAGTTAAGAAGCATCAAGCATAAAAATAAATAAATCACCAAAGCATGTGGAATAAATATGCCTTTAAATGATAGGCGCATACATTGCCACTTAAAGCTCTGCATTAATTGGAAAATTTGAAATAGCTTGAAGTCTTACTAGGACCCCAAGTCATTACTGCATAACACCCAGCATTACTGAAACACTGCAGAAAGAGATCAGGAATGTGAAACATCTATTGTATCAAAACATGAAAAACAGAACATATTTTTCACTTGGGCTCAAGGACATTTAGCGTGCTTTCCTTTTGTCCTTCTGCTTGAGTTGTTGCAAAGCTCAAACGACTCGCCTTTCAAAAACTGTAGTTATGAAGACTCTCGCAGTGTCCACATCAACTTGTATCATTATCTTCTTAAGAAAATCAGAAGTTTTGTTGCCTTCTTTTTTTTGCATCCATAGCATCCAGAATTGGTTGTCTTTTAGCAGTATATCTTTGACGAAGCTCTTCAATTTCACGCTCCATCATTGGATCTAAAGCTTTTAATCTCATCTGTAGCTCTTCCAAACTTAGGTTTTTTAACTGTTCGGGTAAAAATAAAAACATTTTTCATTAATAAAAATATTTTCGCTCATAGTAGAAGCTGCACATGAATGTGTAACAATCTACTCATCTCATAGTCTCTTATATAAAATAAGGTATCAAACAGTGAATTTGAACTCATCCAATGGACTGTGCAGGAAATATTTATTATCAACCGGCAGATTACATTTAATTAAGTGTGCATTTAACTGCAGGACAGACAATCTTCAAAATTATGAGACATAAATTATGAGAGGGTATGCTGTTCTGAATCACTTATTTTAAAAAATGATTATGTATATATGACAATATATTGATAACAACAGCTCTCAAAATGACCATCACTGATAAAATGACAATTGGAGCACTATTATACATTGACTGCTTAGAGCAGAGATGGCTAACCTTTTCAACACTTAGTGCCGAAAGCACAAGCATGCATACACCCATAATGCAATGCACATGTGACACCCTCGTGCCCCCTGCCCTTGCGCATGCGTGCATGACCCTTGTACATGTGCATGCATCTCCTGCATGACCCTGCCCCTGTGCATGCATGCACATCTCCTGCATGTGCCCTGCCCCCCCATGCATGCGTGGCAGACACCCGAACGCCAGCTGACCGGTGGGAGGCGCATGCACATGCACAGCAGAGCTGAGGTGATGGCTTGTGTGCCTGCAGATAGGGCTCTGCATTCCACCTGTGGCACATGTGCCACAGGTTCGCCATCACGAGCTTAGAGTGTACCTCTTCCTTACAATAGCTAGGAGTATTGGTAAACTCAATATAAGGTTAAACAATTGCTATTGCTATTTTACTGTTATCCTGCTTTATTCCAGGAAGCTAATAATAATTGAAGTTGGTAGGGAGAAGATTGACTCAGAATGAGGAATAGGAGGAAAGCTTTAAACAAAGCTTATTCAAAACTCCTCATGTATAAAAAAGACAAAAAGTGTGATGTGATGTAGTGAAAAACTGTTATTATCGTCCACCTTCTTCTTAATTTGTTTTCTCATATGCTTACTTGTAGTATCTTGCAAACTCATGACTGTACAGGGCTGGTGATGCTAACAAGGTCGCAAAGCTTTTCCCCCCTCCTATGTAGATACTTCACTGGATTACACCCATGCTTATTTCAAGGCAAATTAATTTAGGAAGATAAAATCCACCTGAAAAATGATCCAAATTAAATAAAAGAAGGCGGCTTTCTCTATCAGAATATTACATTAGCAATTTTCAAAGTATTCCTAACATCCTCAGGAATTTTACAAAAATAATAAGGGGTCCCTGCAATGATAATAATAATAATAAGACTTTTAATAATAAGACACCTGCAACAATCTGATGATACTGGAGCCTTGTCAACCAATATGATGCTCTTCAGGCTGGGACTCTTCACCTGCACTTGCAGGAATAATTCAGTTTCAGAATGGAAAACACAACAGTGAAATTGATATTTATTACACCATCCTGAGAGTCTGTGTATGTATGCATACATGCACACATGCTAATTATATTCCCATATTGTTATTTTTAAAAAAATTAGTTTAACCAATCAACACTAACATCTATTATTTGGCCTCAAGGTTAATTGATACTCAGTATTTCCAAAAGCATTGACTCTAAATATTAGGGAAAATGTTGACAGTTGAGAAAAGGATCAAATTAAAGATTAAAAATTTAAGGTTGTCATCAAACTTATTTAAAACAGAATTAATTATAAGTTAAAATACTACTTGTTTGAAAGTATTTTGGGATAACTATTAGCAAGTATTAATAAGAATGTTAATGTAACAACAAAATTCCAAATGAGAATTCACTCCAGAAAAAACTTTCTTAAAGAATATGACAACAGCAGATTATTTGAAATGAGAGATATTCCTAAATATGTTTACCAATAAAGGAGAATATCTGTAGCTCAGGATTGAAATGAGTATGTTTACCTAAATATGTTTAGCTGCATTTCTCAACTGGATTTTAGTATATACTTTAATTTTTATTCCTAAGAATTGTCATGATTTTTTCTGTGCCTAAGAAGTGGACTGGAATAGAAAAATGAATAAGTAAAAATAGAAAATATGCATAGCTATAAGATATATTTTTCTTTTAAAATCATCAAAATTTCCCTTTTTTTCGAGTATAGTGCCTTCTCTAGGCTGCAAATATCCAATCAATCACCAGGTGGAACAAAGCGATACCGAAAACTATCTGCTACTATCTAGTGGTTGTCCAGATTCCTACAGCTCAGATATGCTAACTCTAATATTAGAAATGCTGCGTAAAATGTGCTTGCACATGTATATGTGCACAAAATAATGTACTAGGCATGAAATGCCACTCACCACTGAAGAAAGTTAGCACCCTTAGAAGAATGAAATATTTTGGGAAATATTAAGAAGGCAGAATATTATATTTCCCTGGATGAGAAAAGGAGAAACAGGTTTTTAATGGCAAAGAGCAGCTCCCTGACCCCAGCACATATTTGGTGCACATTAAGACTGGACCAGTCTATCTATAAAACAAGAGACCTCAGCTCCAGGGTGATGGGATTAAGACATGATCCTCCAGGACATAATAACTAGCTCACCACATGGCACAACCAAGCCCCTTCATTACATCACCCAGCAAGGTTCAACCAAACTCGATTCAGACAAACATGACTCCACATGGGAGTCTGCAACCAATAGGATACATGCCCTTGCCATAGGAACAGGAAGCTCAAGGTCAAAGCCCAAGAGAGGGTATAAATAACATTCACTCTCCACTCCATGTGGTCAGCTGCCCACCCATGTGGTCCTGTCCACCATTAAATTCTCCTTCCAAGCAGCCTCCCTGTTTCCAGTGTCTTTCTCCCCACTTGGAACTGAGCCCAGTTGGACAGTTCTTCCAACACCACTATAGTAACTCTTTCCTACAAAAAGCTTTTACATCAAAAATGAGCAAGAATTCATTGAAGCTATGAATAACAGGAGTAAAGAGGAAATGGTTTAGCAACACAATTAAGTAAAAGCTGAGAATAAAAATACATAATCTATTCAGTTCAGCTCAGAGAGGGCAGTTTAAAGCTATCAATTTGATTATTTCCATCATGATTACTTAGACTTAAACAAAAACTTTTATTTCCTGTGGAAGAAAACTCTGGCATGAATACACATCAGATAAAAACAATTTCCTGGTGAAACTATTCTGTGGTCGAAAAACATCATTTTGTCTACAAAACTGAATATTATACCGTAAACTATATAGCAGAAAAATATGTAATGCAAAAACATCCCACTTGTTTTTATGAAATATTGGTTGAAACACAATGACTGTACTACTGAGAATCTCCTATGACAACCAACCTATATTGTGTGTGAAAAAGAGGTCATGGTACATTCTAATTTGCCAGCTGCGAGAAAATGGGCAAGGTCTTTAACTTTTTTTAAAAAAATTCTGAATCAAGCAGAACAATCATTCTCTTAGCTATAAGGAGTTGTACTAGTGCGATGCTAGAAATGAATCATTGAGAATAACAAGGGCCACTTGCATTCTGCAAATAGAATGCTCAGATGTACAAATATTCAGCTCAAATGTAAAGAGGTCTTATAAATTTCTGTCTCAATCTCAACAGACTTTCCTAGATGTTTCTACACCCAGCACATTGAAACAGTATGCAGACATTCTACAGATGCAGATCAAATTCTTTGTATCATAGCACCAGAATTAACCACGTTTATCTGACCAACTAGATTAGGGGTATCAAACAGTGTCATGGCGGCATCATGTGACATATTGGGGCTTTTTGCCCCTTCGCTAAACTGGGTGGGGGTGGGGCCAGCACATGACACATCCAGCCCGCAGGGCGCAGGTTTGACACCCCTGAACTATATAGTCTATGCAGTGGGTAGTTAAATTTATTTGTGTTATGTATGCATTGCATCTATATTTTTTATCATCCTTTTTGGAAAACTGCAGAAAAATCATATATCACAGTTATGTTGGCCAATGCTCCATTTTTTTTCCAAAATTGATTTCTTTTTCTTCATACAGATAAACCCTGGAATCTCCAAAGAAAAAAAACCAGAAAGTCCAGCTGCCTCCTGAAAAAGCACCTTTGGGACAACCACAACCTGGATGACTGGGAATCTCCATAAGACTTTTAACTATCCACTTTGGGATGACCACCTTTTGATTGTGTGGGAGTATGAATGGATTTCCAGAAAAATTGCAGACTATAGGAACAATTTGCACTTCAGTTTGAGATGTAGACAACACAAAATCATCCTCAACAGCTTGTGCCTGTCTTCAACAATGAAGCAACACAGGGCAGAAAACATCCTGCAGCCAAGAAGGCTCCACACCCATTTGCATTACACAGGTGATCCTGAGGACTCAGATGAACCTCCAAGTGGCCTCAACAACTCTCTAAAAGGATGCAAATGACCAGCTGTCTGCAAGGAATATAAATCCCATTCCCCACCAAGGAACTGAAGAAGCTTCTTGGTTGAGAAGTGAAATGTCTTCAAAAGAAAAAAACAAGAAAGTCCAGTTGCCTCTTGAAAAATCACCTTTGGGACCTGGAATCTCTTCTTTGATGTTTCTGATCTTGACTTTAGCAAAAATTTAAGTTTTGTTTCATGTTACAATAGTAAAACTATAAAGTGAAGTAGAATATGCAATGATATAATTTTTCTGTTTTCTGCATAAAAGGATAGGAAAATGATTAAAGTATTTAAGTTAGTAGAATTCTATACAGCGCTAACTGAAATACTCAAATACTTAAATCGGACTTGTCTTTGGAACCCAATCATTTATAAGGTAACTAATACAAATGGTGAGAGCTGGTTTGGTGTAGTGGCAACCAAGAGACTGTGAGTTCTAATTATGCCTTAGGTATGAATCCAGCTGTGTTTCATACCTAAGCCAGTCTCAGCTCTAGGAAGGAGGCAATGGCAAACCTATTCCAAAAATCTTGCCAAGGAAACTTCAGGGACTAGTCCAGACAGTTGCTAGTAGT